CAGTGTCTTACGAGAAAGTAAGACCTCAACAACAATTCTCGAATTATACTAATATTTATTGATTAGATGGAGTAGAAAAAAACTAAAAATAAAGTTTTTGAAATATTTAGGTTTTGTTTTTTACAATAAAATATATAGGTTACCGTGGAATTTATTGAGAAATTAATATTAAAAAAAAATTCAAGTAACCTAGTTTAACATTTTTTGTTATTTTTCCTAAGGGAAAAATGAATCACAGGATTCCTTTCCAGTGTGTGCCCCACTGCCGCTACTGCCCACGAGCCGCCACTGGATATAGGTTGTAAAATATGTGTAATAAAAAACCCAGAAAACGACATATTACTCGATAGGTATCAAATCCTAGAAGTATACCTGACGCGGCAGTTATTTCTTTGAAACTAAACCGAAAAACCGGCTAACTTTTTAAGTGAAATACAATTTTCCAATTTAAATACGTATTTTTTTATTTGATGTCATAAAACAGATAATGAAACATTTCAATGCGATACAAAGATATATTTTTTATTTACACGCAAAAAAAAACGATATGTAAATGGACATTACTTACGGACATTGTTTACTCGCCTATCTAAAAATCTTGTTTTCCAACAATAAAGCTAACTGATCTACTTGTATAACTAGAAACAAAAGCCGCATGCAACATCTCTTTTTCACTACAGGAAGTTTATGATGAACATTTATTTTTCAATAAAAAAGTAGAATTGTCGAAATAAAAAATTTGCATTTTACACACAAATAACTAATATCGCTTTAATTTATGCAATGAGATGAAAATATTGCGTGTGAATTTTATTTTTAAGATAAGACTTTGGTCAATGGCTTATTTGGTATACAGGGTGTCCCATTAGTGCGTAATTGTTCAATATTTCAATTTGTGTTTTAAATAAAAATGATATGGATTTGAAAAAATACTTATTTAAAAATATTTTTGTATCTGCAGGGTGTTGCATTTTTAAAACTTCTTCACCGGCTAGCAATAATACTTTTTATCAGATAGTATGGGGTTTTCCGGATTTTACTATAAGTAGCGATATATTATCAGACGCTCTCAAACCATCATCATCCCTTTGTGACGTTGAAGCGAACATTCTTTCCAGTGTGGGTCTCTTCTGAACTTTATCTTTGAGTGTTTGAAAGTATTTCAAATATTTACCTATTTTATCAGGACGACATCTTCTCAAATGATACTCCATCTTAGATGGCTTCATAGCGTCATTGATTAAAACTGTGTTCCATAAAAGGCACACAGACAACTGCTTGTCCAACAAGGAAGGAATGAAGCCAAATTTAATCACCACTGTATTGTCTACATTTCTTTTTAAATTCGGCCATGTTTAATATCAGTTACCTGTGAACAAAATTGAACCGTTTAAAATATTTAAATAAGTTATACCAATAATGAAAAAGGAACCGGGCGAAGAAGCTTATTTTAATTAAATAATTTAACTTATTGTAAAGCTAATAAACAATTGATTAGTGCTTTTTAATCGAGTAGCATTTCTCCAATAGAACATATTTTGTAAAAAAGGCGCTAAGCGTATGAAGGACAACATAACCATAAACTTTTTTGTCAGCTATCGTATTTAAAACACGCAAGGTTGAATTTAGTCCTTACTAATAATCATATGTAGTTTAAAACACTAAAAGACTCGATTGTTCGTACATACGTCATATACACTTCGACTTGTTAAAACGAAACTCAAGGGGTTAGCTAGTAACTGTAGGGCCCATTAAATCACATACACTATTTTTAATTTTATTCCTTGGACATTCTGTATGTAACAGAATATTCGTGTAATTCAAATAAGAAATGTCATATTGACAAAAGTTGTAATTATGAAGAATACAGATAAGGAGGCGAATCGGCATACTAAAAATACGGTCCCAAAATACGCATACTAATTGAGCTTTTATAATCATACATAATTTTGTCAAAATAATAAAAATAAACTTGTTTATAGCTAATTAAATCACACTGTTGTATTTATTTCTAAATAAGTCTGGCATGTTTTACTTGATAAATTATTCAATTTTATCTATATAAAATACAAATTAGGTTTGTATTACCAAATCCGAAAGGTATCTTAAATGCTGAAATTTGATAAGTACAATTTTCTGGCAAATTTTTTTTTTTTTGAATTGAACCAATATATAGTTTTAAGAGTAAAATAAATCACAGTTAACAAATTTTTTTTATTGTTGTAATACAACTATAAAGGGAGATTTGGGAATGTACATGGAATTACCTCATCCTTTAATTTCAGCTTTCCCCTTTTTATTTTGCTAATCAGTAAAAATAATCTCACAATATTTAATAATATCTTCTAAAAAGTATTGAACAGTATCATCTCTAGAAAGTGCTTTATCGGCACTAGGAACGATATATATGCTGCCACTATTCTATACGTTTAGTATGGTATAAAAAACATTTACAATGACACAATTGGGGTCAAAAAAAAAAATAACAGTAGCAATTCTTTATCTAACATTAAAACTATATAAAAAATAAATTTTCTTTTCTAGTAAGTTAAATTTAATGTATAATTATTGTTGTTTGTAAGTCAGGATCTATTATAGAAACTTGTAATAAAATAAACTATACTCCGTAAGATACATAATTGATATCTTCTTGTGTCTTCTTTAGTTTTACATTTGATTTGTATCCTGTTTTACAATCTGGTACGACGTAAATCTTGCTTTTATGTTTTGTGTCGCTCTTGTTACTTGTTTCCAGGTACTTTTTTTCACATTATATTTGATTCTTTTCACCAATTTTTTAAAAAATCACTTAATTTTACATTGACTTACAATAAAAATTGACACCTCCGTTATTCGACATGCCAACTACAGACAATTTATAAAAGAAGGACGGAAATTTAAAATTTGACAAATTAAAAAATTCTGATGCCTTGGTAGGATTCCCCACTCGACCATTCACTATTAGATACTAATTAACAATTCTGTTCCTAAAGTGGCACTGGGAAACAGTTACAAAGCCTACACAGAACACAAGGCTAATAACCGAAGCAGTTGATGCCGATGACAAAAAAAAAATAGAATTGTCATTGAAAAACGAATTTTTATCTTAGTCTAGGTTGTGGCAAAGAACTTGTGCCACAACAGTACCCATTTAAGAACTCCACTATCCACCTTCTGGTTTCATTGGATTTTATTATTCCATCAGCTCAACTCGATAAAATAATAAAAGTACGCAAACAATTTTGCTAAATTCAACCTTGCACGTTTTAAATAGGACCTTGAATTCTATTCTTCGTCTGAGCAACTCCTATTAAATAAAGTTTTTCAAATTAACTTATTATTATTATTAATATTTTAAAAATACGTTACCGGGTTATCTGATATTTAAGATAAATTAAACACACAAACTAACAGTAAAAAACTAAAATTTTATTTAAAAAATTTGTACTTAGTTTCTTTTGGTACTCTCAAACTAAATTACATTGGATCACTTTAATTAATGTGCATACTAACTAGTCTATATTTTTAAAAATATTTTCTTAATAAGAAGTAGTTTCCTTTTCAACGCTCTGGAAACAAATGAAGGCATTTGTTCCTAATATTACTATTTATTCATTTTCTTAATAAGAAGTAGTGTCCTTTTTAACGCTCTGGAAACAAATGAATGCATTTGTTCCTAATATTATTATTTATTCATTGATAAATTAAACAATTCAGTGCAAGTCCGTCTTCCTACTAGTTCCTATGCAAACGCTTGTTTCGCATACGCACACAGGTTAAAATTTTAATTTGCTATAGCATTTAAAAGCTGCGTTTCATTATAAAAACTGCTTGTAATTTTTTTCACAATTTTAAAATTGTATTTTCAGCCCTCTACCGTCTCCCAAAATAGCTAAAAATAAAATTAAAATTAAATGTAAACTTTAATTTAGCTATACCCATTAAAAGCTGTGTTTAAGAATATAGACTGGTTGTTATTTTTTTTTTTTTTAGAAATTTTAGAAATACGTTTTAAGCCCTCTACTATCCCCTTAGAATATTTATATAGTCAAAGAAATTTAGTTTCGTCATGACAAAATTGAAATCCCGATTTTTAGTAGAATTGTTACCCAACTGTTTTCCACTATGAAAGCTACAATGAAATTGAGAAAATAAGTTTGTTTACAAAATGAACAACAGAACAATTTAGTACTAATCGTAGTCGGTTTGTTTGTTTTTTAGTTAAAAACTAAACAACAAATCATCTTTGTGTGGTATTTATTATTCCATTATTGGAAAGTCAAAATTAAAATCGCAACCTGCTTAAATGAGATCGACTATCGTGGACCCCGTTTACATCTCACAGATATAGACCACTTTGAGTATCATCGGTCTAGTTGATAACGTCGCCTAAAATTTAGCAAACAGATAATGAAATGAATCATCAAAAATCACAACCAACGGATAGTGCTGGCAAGATCAAACTTTTGGGCCTCCTTTGCTCGACAATCACCAAACTTATATAATATGAATTTTTTTTTAATTTCACAATAAGGCTTGTTTGTTTTTTGAAGTTGACACTTTTTTTCCTATTATAATAATAATAATAATAATAATAATAATAATCAAACGTCATTTTTTGGTTTATTCTTAACTTAAGCTTAAACTCTCATTAAAGTAAGGCGATGCAACAAGCTATAAGTAAATAAATTAAATAGACTATAAAAAAAGATCAGCTTAATTTAAAAAAGAAATCTTAAATGAGTTTTTGTCTATTCTTGAAAATAAATGTAGTGTACTGATATAAAGAAAATTAGAGAATATGGAATTCATGACGTCCACATATTGTACTTCGAAATACAGTTGTTTTCCAATTTTAATATATTGAGATAATAATTACATTTTTCAATTTATTATAATTAAAAAACGGTCACTTCACTCCGTAGTCGCTACTTTAATAAATTTATACTAAAATTATGCATCATTAATTTTATTTATATAGTATTATGTTTCTATTTCAGATTATAAAAATCCCAAGATGACTTTATTAACTGTGATATTTGCCATTTTATTGCATCCGTGTGTGTCTGAAATACACAGAGGAGGAATTTTGTTTCCAAGAAACTCAGAAACGAGGCAAGTAGTCTCTTTAGATGGTATTTGGAATTTTATAGCTCCAAATATTACGAATCCGTTTATTGGATTCCAACAACATTGGTATAGAAAAAGTCTCAAAGAGGTAAAACACTTTCTTATTTTTTTATAGGTAGTTTAAAAATTTTAATTATATTTTTCTATGACTAATACAAAATTACACTTTCTCAACTATTATTAATTGGGAAATGTGTTACTTTTCCTTATTTGATAATTGTGATAACACAAAGTAATCATTTCCGTTTCATATCTCATAACACAAAGTAATAATTCCCTATTTTTTTAATTATTTTAATTTTTTAGTTATAAAACTATTCAAAAATGGGTCACAACCTGTTATAGCCATAGCAAAAGTATAGTGTTCGACTAGAAAGGACTTCTTGCTCTTTAAACAATATAAAAAGTGATCTACAAAAATTTTTCTTAAAGAGACAAGACAGAGATACGAGTCATGTCCGTTATAAAAAAGAAGAAAAATTTTTCCGCATACGCTCAGATAAACAAATGAAATATAGATAAGTTAAGGGCGCTGTTTGACATAGGCTTTGTTTGAAGCCAGTATCTATGAACTTTTGACAGCTGTGATCTCCATGGGCATATCAAATAGTTTTTTGATCAGAATCCAAAGGATTGTTGTGTAAATATTTTGTCAATGACAAATTTAAATAAAAATGCAACTCAAGCATAAAATTATATTTTACAAAAAATAAATTCTGCTATTTTTTATTCAAATGTAATAAACGATATTTATAAAACAAAATTAGGTTTCAAATGATTATACTGTTAAATTTTTTATAGGTATATAACAGTGAACTATCTCAAAAAAAAATTGATATGTAATAAATTTTATCATTTCTTACTATATGCTTCGAAAGTAATTTGTAATGGATAGACCAATCTATAAATTTGTTAAAACTTACCTTTATATAGTATGTAATCTTGTTCCAAGAATGATCTAATGGAGACTGTTAAGCCCAATAGAAATAATAGATCTTTTTACACAAACATATCAACTAGAGGCATAAAAAGGTTGAAGTGACTAGGCCTTAAAACCCTGACTAGTGGCATTAATTTTATTTAAATAAAACCCTAAGATAAATTAACTGTAGCTAGAAAAATAGTAACATTAAAATTTTTCATATAAACGTCTTCATCTCTAGCAACATTTTTAGTAATTTAAGTTATCGATTCAGGTTTTATTTTATTATACTAAAAGAATTCTTTATTATTAATAACAATTTTAAGGATGAGAAATACATTTTTCATAAATATATGTGTACCAAAGGCTATAAGTATAGAGTTGATTTTTTTCGGTTGAATCAGAAATTTACGGCAGAGGCCAAGTAACTTTTGGTGACTATTATTACTACCATTTAACAACTTATGTAAGAATGGAAAATCCGCATCATGCCTTCGTTATTCACGAGAGTCAATTTTAGTAATTCCAGAAATTTGATTAGATTAGATTAGATTTAATTAGGACTGTGGGCCATGTGGCCTCCCCCACCTCGACCTTTTTAGATCTATTGTGGATATCCTTAAATCGTTGTTTAGAGTACCTTGTCTAATTCGGTCTTTTGTAGTAGACTCCATAAATTGGGAAGTAGTTCTCCGGTATAGCTAATTGCCCTTGGATTTTCTTCTCCAAGTGTAAGGATCTCAGTCTTGCTAGATCTTCGCAGTAGCACACTACGTGTACTGCCGTTTCCTTCTCTTCCTGACAGAATCAGGACAAGGTCTCTTCTGTCAGACCGATATTATACATACGTTTGTTAAGCTTACAATGCCCTGTTAATAGACCTACTAGTAGTAGAGGCTCGGTGAGTTTAGGCGATGGTCCTTTTAAAAACTCTTTGGTCTGTCTATGTCCTGGAGAGTTTTTCCACCACTCCACCACCCTAGGAAGTAGAAATCTGCAGATATTAGCCTTTTTATGAGTTCGTCCACTAGGACTGACCAGAGGGGTAACAGTACTCCTCCCTGGGGACAGCCCCTGTCTGCTTTAGCTGTCAGTGTAGCTTCGCCTATAGATGATGTTATTACCCTTTCTTCTAGGCTGGCTTTTATCCACTGACATAGGACTACTGGTACCCCTTTCATTGTTATGGCGTTAATTATAGATCTTGTTTGAGCATTACTAAAAGCTCCCTCAATAACTACGAAAGTTGCAACTACCATTTCCTTATCCTCCAGGAATTTTGACAATAGCCTGTTGAGATTATGCATCGCCAAATCAGTTGACTTGCCTGGCTGATATGCATATTGACGGTCGCTGAGAGGGTTTTCTCTCAGTATTTCGTCTCGTATATATCTATCTATTAGTCTTTCTAGCGTTTTTAGCATGAATGACGATAGACAGATTGGGCGGTACGACTTTGGTGTCATATAATAATAATAATAATAATAATAATAATAATAATACTCTCCCTAATTCACCCAGTTACGAGTGAATTTCAACCACTGAAGTCGACTGAACGACTTGTGTAGGGGAAGGGACGGCTATTATTATTATTTGCCGTGGCGCTCCGGGGCGACTTAAGGATGATTGATGGTGCCATTTGACTTACAGGTGAGGAAAACCCGGAAAACCTCATCCATCATCATTAAACCTTCCTACTTTAGGAAGGTATATGACTCTCACCTTTTGCCACGCCTTTGGTATATGTCGCGAGCACTGATCTGTATTATTTTACTGGATAGGATATAGCCCCCAAAAAAACCTTCTGAAAAATTGGCCGATTTGGGCAAATAATATGGCGGACCGGATGTTATTTAACGTAATCTCTATTTCCATTTGTCATCACATTTGTCATTTAATTGTGTCAACAAGCTACGATGAGATGTTTTTATTGTGGAAAACAAAGTAAAAAGAGTATGAAATAAACAATAAACGTTTATTCCTGCATACACAATATGCTTCACGTTTCCATTTTTATATTTTCTTTCATAAAAAATCAAATCATGGATGAAATTTCCCGAAGGACATCGCCCGCAAAAGGAATAGAAGAAGAAGAAGAAGAAGAAAAACTAATCAAATTATAGGTTAGGTATGTCAAATTATCCCAAATTTCAGTTCTGTGAACTCACCATAATTTGCCCAAATCGGCCAGCATTGTTGCACTTCCGGTCTCCTTGGTGGAACGATTTTTTAGTATGTTAAATATAGCCTATATCCTATGCAGTAAAATAATACAGATCAGTGGTTACAGATCAGTGGTCGCGAGGCTATACATATGCGACACATGTGGAATTAAAGTTTCCTATCCTTTTTGTAGTAGAATGGAATATATATTCCATCTGCTCCTGGGGATTTGTATGGTTGAAATTTGTTTGTAGCCCATCTAATTTTGTTCGGCCTCGATATTTCTGTAGCTAGCTTCTATTTCAAAGGAGTTGGCCTACGAGACCTTCTTTGAGGACTGTATGCTACTATCGGGCCTAGCAAAATTTCTTCGGCCGGAAAGTGTACTTCTGTGAGCATTGTTAACGTTTCCTAGAAGGTTTTCGTATAGGTTTCATCATCTTTCCTAAGAAATCCTACTTGGTTTGCAGTACCCTCTTTAGCTAGGACTTCTAGAGCATGTGGGTGTTTTAGATAACTCCTCACAGAACTTCCTCCACGATTGCCTTTTAGCCTTTCTTATCTCCTTGTTGTACGGCGTGAGTTTAGCCTCATATAGGGCATCATGCCTTCGTTTTTCACGAGAGTAAATTTTAGTGATTCCAGTTTGATGCTATTATCTAGCCAGTTGATTCCTAAATTGTATACATGTCTGAAAACCATCCTGTATATATCTAAATCATATAAATTTCGTCGGCTTACCAGCTAAGTCATATTTGATGAAAATCAGTCACTTAATGAATATGAAAATAATTTAAAAATAAGGTTATAATTGTTAAAGGATTTTACCAGTTTATAGAGTGGAAGAAATTCAGTCAACTGATCTAAATAAGTCAAAAATAAAAAAATTAATAAGTGTGTTTTGCTTGTAAATCAATAATTTGTCTAGATACAACTTGTGTCTGTGACAAACAAATAACAAAAGTGTAAAGCACAATCGTTTTGGTATTCTTTACTTGCTGTGCTGTTCATATTTGAAAAAAGTAAAGCGCTTTCAAAAAAGTAGCGTTTTGCTGTTCGCACTTCAAGCTTTGACATTTGAGGCTAAGATTTTCGGACGTAGACAAGTCAACCATTAAAATATGGACCTAAATATTATGACTTGAATATTAAAATCTCAGCAAATGTATGTTGTTTATTATGTTTTTGATTCCTTATAATTCTGGAACTAGTCTCAATATATTTTAATAATGTATAATTATAATAATGTCAAAATGACATTAAAATCCTAACATAAGATGTTTAGACCAATTTACAATTTATAATTATGACAGCTCATGACAAAAATTAAAATCACTTACGAATAGGAAAATCGTCTAGCATTAGAGAATGCCATAATCACATGCAAGTCGTGTTGGTGATCGTACGTTGTTGACAAGGCCACTTGGTGCTTTTGTTGCTATGCGTTTTTGGCTGAAATAATTAATAAACTTTCAACATGTTTTTAAAGTTTTTAGAATTTTAGATCTTGTAATAATCTCCAAAATAACATGTGCCATAAATATTTTCTAAAAATGGGCTTTAGGTACCTATTATTTGTAGCATAACTTTTTTTTTCTACACCCGTATTATAATAATGCACTTATATGCCCATAATCCGTTTCATAATGATACCCATTATGATACAGATTTTTCATTACGATACAGATTTTTAATCAATAGAAACCTACAATTTTTCAATCAAGCATGCTGTTTGACGTTTGTCCTAGGTTCCTATGTAATTATTTTAGTTGTCAAAACGTATTAAATTTTCGTAGGTAGCTAAACTTCGATAATTATAATATTAAAATGTCTGATATTAGCGATATAGAAGACTCCTCCACACATATCGGAGAAAGCAGAAAATACAGTACAAAATATTTTACCGCAAAAATCTAGGGAAATACCAATACCTGAAGTAATACCATTAATTACAATTTTGTAGAATTTTTTATAGAAATACGAGTAATTACTGTTATTGTGTTCAATACCAATATAAATATAATATTTATAGGTCTTGATTATTTATCGGGTGTAGAAAAAATAGCGTATGCAACTCTCATGTAATGGTTATTACATGATCGTTGCATAATATACTATTTCTGAATTTAGGCACTTTATAAATTGAATAACTTTTTCTATAGCTTCTAGAGCAATGTTGGTGAAACAACTTGAATTTCTGATCCAGTATGTGCAAATTATAATAATTTTAAATATTTTCTAGACTCTGTCTTCCACTATATTCAGTAGGAAGTAAATTTTCCCTAAAAAGAATTATAAAATATTTACAATATAATGATTCTATCAGTATAATTCATTTCAATGCTAATTTTCAGAAGATACAGGAAACTCTTTGGAGTAGTTTATATTTTCATAAAATGTTTTCTTTCCAGGAATCACTAAGATTTATTTTGCTTTGGATACAACGTAGCATTAATTTTTTAAATTAAATCTCTAATTTTAAAATGTATGAATAATTTGTATTAGGTATTCTGTTATATAATATTATTATTGCAACTTACTTGAAGACGGACCAAGTTGATTAATAAATGCAGTAGGAATTACTTCCAGCTTTAAATTCGTCTTTCCCGGCAGAATTCATAACAAAATCATAATTTATAAAATGTGTCCAATATATTTTAGTGTTTTTGTTAATGTTATCAATTTCAACCGTTCCTAATTCTAAGTTTTGAATCCAAATTTGCATTGCTTCAAAGTTTATAGGAAACCTGCGTAAAAGATTACTAATAATATTCTACGTGTACTACCAATTTTTTTTATTTACTTACCTTTGAAACGACTTGTAACTTCTCCAAATGTATGTTTTAAGGCAAACAAACATTGAATAGTAATTTTTAGAATTAGAACTAATAAAATTCGTTAAAAAACCTTCTAAAAACTCTAAAAAATATGCCCTGAGATTATAAAATCACACAAAATGTACAAACAAAACTGACAGTTCCCAAGTGCTTGTTGAAAGTTATGAGAAAATTTTGGCGCTGCTATTTAAAATAGACGAATTACATCAAAGACCCAGGAGAAAGAGAAAGTAATAGAAAAAATGGGTCATACTGGCTTCAAACAAATCCAGACCGTTAGTTATCTATTATTGATTTGTTTTATCTGAGGGCATACATGAATTTTTCCAAGGCCTACTTCAGAAGCGTTTTCTGTGCAAAATGCTTATTTTATTTGCAACAGACATATTCTTAGAGTACGTTTCTTCAGTTTTGTCCTTGACAGTGGCCCAAAAATGTAATAAGAAACTTTTGGATAATGAAAAAATTAAAAATAATATATCTTCAACCATGACAGCGATGATAATTGCTGAAGGAGTCTAATATAGTATAGTATCTACTATTTACTCCCTTATTCTAGGAATAATTATGTTAACTGTCGAGGTTGAATCTTAATCATACTCATCTTAAGAATGATTTGTAAAATTTAAAGATTCATTATCCATAATTAATGTCCACTATATTTTAATTATCCTATTTGTTATCTATTAGAGTAATTACCGTACAATTTCTACACAAATATTTAAAAAAATATACAACCTCTTTCAATGGGAATGTCGAATTATATATATTTTTTCAGGTTAAGGACTTTGATATGCATTTAATGCCTGTACCTGCTAGCTTTAACGACATTACGACTGACTGGAAAATTAGGGATCATTTAGGATTAGTTTGGTATGATAGATTCTTTTTTATACCCAAGCAGTGGGAAGACGTTGGCAGAGTTTGGCTAAGATTCGGATCAATTTCTTATGCAGGTCAAGTAGTAAGTAGAAAAAATTATTTTTATTTAATTTCCACTTGCATATGATTTATTTATTACACCTTGGATAATAAAGCGTTTTAGCTTATAATGCCCACTAATTTACTAACATTTTTTATTGAGAAAAACCATTAAGATATAATAAAGACGAGATGCTATGACGATGGTAAATTGTCCGCACCTTTGCATTATATTTTTACGTCAATGTCAAACTCCAGTTACTATAGCTAGTCAGTTTTTGGTAAGAATAAATGTAATTTTTCTTTAAATAGCTTCATATAAATGATATAAAATTATTTTTATTTCGTCAGTCCTCAAATATAAAATTATTGACTTCAAATAAATCAAAGTACGACTCAAGTCGCCATTTTAATTACACTTTTCCGTCACTTGAAGTGCGTCCATTTGTCTTATCGCAAAATAGTGTTTATGTCGTCTCACTTTATTCTATCACGATGAAGAAAAAATATTAAAAAAGTAGCTAGTCCGGAATGGATATGTTATGGAAAGTTAGTTTATATTGCATACAAATCTTTTCATTAATAATCTGTTTTTTCAAATAACTTTTTTAATGATTTTTCAAAATATTAAAAATAATTTATACAAGTATTGTAATATACCTGACACCCAGGCGAATACAACATAATTTGTCCATTTAGGTGTGCCTGAAAATGAATGTATTAAAACTTCTAAACAGTTTGAAATAAAGGAGCAGTATGTGAGATTTATTTATTTTTTAATATTTTTAATAGGTAATGTTTTATTTTCATTAGCATTTCGGCATCAGTAGTAGTTTTCTAAAGGTACACGCGCTTCCAAAATAAATAGTTGTTTGTTCTTTTTTACTTAAGTAGTGTGCTGATCATCTCAAAGGCAAAAAAGAAGAAACGGCAGTATAGTGCGGAATATATTAAATATAGATTTATCGAAAATCCTACAAATCCATCATCGCCAATGTGCTTTCTTTGTCAAAAAACGTTTTTAAATGAAGCCATGAAACCTTTGAGATTGAAAGAATATTTGAATACACGTAGCTCAGCCTACTAGGGGGAAGTCGTCGAATATCGACCAATGAAGTGGAGAGGGGTAGAATGATAACTGTCAATGAAAAAGTCTAGACACTATGTACAATTTAGTTTTGCACATTTTGTAAACAAGATTCAGGGACGGTTTAACAACATTTTGTGCAACAATTATAAAATAGTGCACATGAAAATAATTAAAAAGTATAATTTAATACTAAATTGAAATAAAAGCACAAAAAATCACAAGTATACGCAAGATAACAAAGAATTGACGCCAAAAAAGCTTACAACAATCACAAAACAAACAAAAAAGAGAGCTGAACATAAACATAATCGCTGAACAGAGCCAATCCTGGAATTTGTTTACAGTGCTTTAGGGCAACCTCTCCTTTTCATTTACATGTATAAGAGTAGAAGGTTGAATCAGGCATAATTTCTACACTCGTAATGGATGCGCAGGCGGTACTTTATCGTTCTACCCTCTCTACTTCTTTGATATCGACCGCAGTCTAATATCGATCAAGCACTTTTAGACAACCATGCGCACATTTTGCGATCGCAAGTGACAGCCACCTGCAGTATTTCAGTAGCGAACTACATTCGACAAAGCAAGTTGGTGTTGTTATTCATTGCGTTCGGTCTGCCAAGTTCCTTTAACTCCTTTAACACTTTTAACTCCAAACGACCCTTTTACCGTTAGGTTTAGTCCGATTAGTGACAGTTTAACACGCTTAAATGTCATTTAAAAGCACCCTAAAATTTGTCCCGCTCCAGCCCCTGACTGACCGAACTCGCCTATTGTTTTTGGCGTGATACCCGTTGTTGGTTTAGTTTTGTGTCTATTTTTATAAATTACCAAGTGTTTAATTTAAGGTAATACAGAGTTTTAATCGCATTTGGATTTATTTTTTTTTACCACAAGACACAAAGGAGATGTTTGTAGTTAAATTTATGACAACCTCACTGTTAAATTCTAACCTTGTTTTTGACATTGCGTAAGTTTTTCTTATTAATGTCTGCTAATATCGACCACTGTGATCGATATTACCCCACGGTGGTCGATATTGTACTACTATGAAATTATTTATTTTAGATGCCTCGTGAAAGATACAATCGAAAGAGTAATCGTTCTTTATGGTCTGAAGAAAACATGCAGCGTGCCCTTAAAGCAGTAAAAGATAAAGTTACGTCTATTAGAAATGCCGCCAGGATGTTTGATGTGCCATACGGAACATTGCAAGATAGAATTAGTGGTAAATTTGATCCTATAAAATATAAGTTGGGTAGAAAGTCGGTGTTCGCTGTTGAACAAGAATCAGAACTTGCCAGCCACTTAATTAGTATGTCTAAAATGTTTTATGGACTTACAGCAAAATCTATCCAACAGGATTATCAATTCGCAGAAGAAAATAAAATAGCCAACAATTTTAACAAGGACAAAAAGATATGTGGTAAAGATTGGCTTTACCTGTTTATGCGTCGCAACCCAACTTTAAGCTTTCGCAAGCCAGACGCTACCAACCTAAGCAGAGTTTTGGCTTTCAACAGGGAGGAAATAAATATATTTTTTAATAACCTTGAGAAAGTCTACAATGAACATAAATTTGAAGCTCATCGGATTTTTAATGTCGATGAGACCGGCATTAGCAACGTGCACGTTCCTAGCCGAATTGCGGCTCCTAAAGGCCAAAAACAAGTAGGTGCTATTACAAGCGGTGAAAAGGGACAGCTGATTACTGTTGTTACCACTATGAACGCGGCGGGTCATTATGTGCCACCAATGTTTATATTTAAAAGGGAGCGAATGAAGGAAGGACTGGATAAAAATGGCCCTACCGGCGCAATATATAGATGTTCTAAGTCCGGATGGATTACTGAAGAACTTTTCACAGAATGGATAAGACATTTTGCTTCTTACACAAAATCTAGTAAAGATGATCCTGTTTTATTAGTACTTGATAACCATTCAACTCACTATAGTTTAGCAACATACAACTTTTGTAGAGAAAATGGTATTAAGGTCATCTCAATCCCCCCTCACACATCGCACCGCCTTCAGCCTCTAGATGTCTGTTTCTTCGGACCGTTAAAGATAGCCTATAATCAGGAATACGACAAATACATAAAATCCAAACAACTTGAAAAAATCTTACAAACTGATATTGCCGAATTGTTCAAAAACTCCTATAATAGAGTAGCCACAGTCGAAAAAGGTGTACGAGCCTTTGAGGTAACCGGAATATTTCCCTTTAACCGTTTCGTGTTTAGTGAAGAAGAATTGATACCTTTACCGAACGGAAGGACAACATTACTGCAGAAAATTTAGAGCCTAGTAATTCCGAGGAAATAAAGGTCCTGCATTTCAACGTGTCGAAAGAACTCCCTCGCCCCTAGCTGGGCCATCCACGTCTAAGCGTCGATCTCTACCTAAAATTGTCCCAAATAAACGTGGACTTAACCGTAAGACCTCATCTTCCTCAGATAACTCTGATTTTATATTAGAGGAGGTTATAGACGATGAGCTGAACGATGATACCGAGAAGACTCTTCAACCCAAGCATGCTAACAAAAGTTTTGCTGACTTAATGCCTTTGCCGAAATTAAATACTAGAAATATGTCACGAAAGGCCCAACATTCCATAATTATGACTTCGACTCCTTTGAAAGATGACTTAGAAACGAAAGAAGAAAGAAAGCAAGGCTGAAAGATGTGGAAAAAGTCAAGATAAATGTTTGCAACAAAAAGAAAAAGGCTGCGAATGCCGAAAAATGTAGTGTTTGTGAAGATTTTGGCGGAAAAAACGATTTGTGGTGGAGGTGTCGCTCGTATGGTTCTTGGGCGCACGCTGATTGTACAGATATTGAGGAAGCAGAAAAGTGCATGCGTGAAAACTGTTTAAATTTATAATAATCGTTCTTTTTTTAATGTAAGCTTACTAATTTGTAATAAAGTATTTGGTCGACATTTACAGACCACCTGATCGATTTTACCCGATAGGTCGTTATTACCCGCAAAATTCACGGAATTTTTGTTTTTTATATTTAAAAAAATATGTAATCATTAAAAAAAACTGTAACAAGTGTTGCCTAAATAAATGTTCTTAAAATAATTTCCTGCAAAATCCAGGTAAATATGTAATCATATAAGCGAGTCATTAGCTCTATTCCTTAAGTGGTCGATATTCGACCACTTTCCCCTATATCAAAACCTAGATGATGACGGACTACGAGTTTCGTACAATATTTCATTGTTAATTGCTTAATCAGGAAAACCACATTCTATTAGGGAAGATTTAATTTTACCGGCAGTGAAAGAAATCATAACCACTGTGCTCCACAAACTAGCGGCAGACATTATCCGAAACATTCCTCTGAGCAATAGTTCCGTGCAAAGACGAATCGAATGAATGACTCATTGTGTAATTATCTGAAGAAATGCCAATTTTCAATTTAGCTGGATGAGTCCACTTTACCAACTAACGAAGCGTTATTGTTGGCATATGTGAGGTTTATTCCAGATGTGATTGCCATACACTGCGTCATTCATCGCCAGCATTTGGTTGCAAAAAATCTAAGTGAACGTCTGCACACTTCACTACAATATGTCATCAAAGCAGTTAATAAGATCAGAAGCAACAGAGGAAGCAACTCACTGAATGACAGATTATTTAGTCAGCCGTTATGCCAGACACAGTCAAAGGCTCATGTCCAACAGAAGAATGGCAGATTTTTATTGTTCAATTTTGTTGTTTGCACATTGGAAAGCAGCAGTGTAGTTGGTACCAAAGCGGCGATTTGTTCTCTAAACCCAAATTGGAATTGCGGAATTCGGTCGTTTATAAATGCTGATAGTTTGTCTTTAATGAGTTTTTCGAATAGTTTTCCCAAAACTGGAAGTTGGTCTATACTTGGTTTTGGGATAACTATCTGGAAAGTATGAGTTTTTGTAACAGAATACAAACATTTTTATAATAAAGATGTGTAAATTATATTTTAGATTTTTCACAATTTGCCATGGAATCATGTCCGATCCGGGAACGGATTTTTTGTGATTGAAAGTATTTTTTCTCCTCTGCACCTATCCTAGCGTACCCTCGGAAAAAAGGACAATTTATTTTAAAATGCGACGAATCCCAACACGGCGTTAGCGCCGTGCTATCCCAAGAACAGGAGGGCGAAGAGAAAGTAATTGCGTATTTTAGTTATACCTTAGGAAAAGCTGAGAAGAATTATTGTGTCACAAAAAAAAAAGAACTTTTAGCTATTGTCAAAGCCCTTGAACACTCCCATACTTACCTTTTTAATAGAAGTTTTATTATTAGAAGTGACCATAGCGCCTTGCAGTGGCTGATGAATTTTAAAACACCTGAAGGATAAGTTGCTAGATAGATAGAAAGACTGCAACAATATAACTTTGAGATAGTGCATCGAAGGGGACATCTCCATAGCAACGCAGACATTTTTTCCAGGCGACCTTGTTTAGAACGATAATGCCGGTACTGTAGAAGGCTTGAAGAACAAGAGGAGCTGGTTGAAGTGGTTAATCTTCAGGCGACCATTATCAAGCAAAAGGATGACGAAGGCGAAATCACCCTTGAACGCATAAGGAAAAGTCAAAAGAAAGACAATGACTTTGAAGGTTGCCCGACAATAGCTCAAAAATGGAGTCAGACCTACATTGCAAGAGATTGCCAAATTATAGTGGAACCTTTAAAGGGTACTGGACTCAGTGGGGTTCCCTGTCTCTTCACGATGGCCTATTGTACGGGAAGTGGAAGAGACCCGATGGAGTACATGTAGTCCACCAAATGATGCTGCCAAAATCACAGGTCAGAAGTGTGTTGGAGGAGTTTCATAGCAGCAGTTCAGGAGGATACTTCGGTACCTAAAGGACACTGTAATGACAGAAAAGGCCCTAAAACAAGAAGCCGAGGTAAAACGGCACAGTCCCTTTCCGGAGAGCCTTTCAAACGAATCGCCATAGATATCCTCGGACCACTTCCCACAATAGAAAGGGAAAACAAATACTTTTGGACTATTTTGTGGTTCGAAAGAGCGCCTATTCCTTATCAGGAAGCGACGATAGTAGCGAAAACATTTATGACGAACGTCATTGCGAGACACGGAGTCCCCCTGGAATTGAATTCTGACCAAGGACGACATTTTGAATCCGAATTATGGCAACAATTGATGAAACTCTTAGGCATCAGGAAAACAAGCACTACGCCTCTCCACCCATAATCCGACGGAATGGTAGAAAGATACAATAGAACGATATGCCAGTACCTTTCAATGTACGTCTCTGATAATCAAAAGGACTGGGACTCTTTAATTCCTCTATTTCTGCTAGCCTACCGAAGTTCTGAACATGAAATGACCAGTTATACTCTATTACTGGAAAAGAGATAAACTTTCCCGTGATCTTCTTTTTGGAAGGCAGCCTCCTGGTGAAGAAGAAGGCCGTACACCTTCCACGTACATACAGAACTTAAGAGAAAGATTAGAAAAGGTATATGAATTCGCTCGGCAGCGTGCGATAAAGCAAAAGCTAGAATCGACATGCATGCCACTGGGACACATTTTGAAAGAGGTGATCCAGTATGGCTGTACAATCCTTAACGCCGAAAACTACTTTGTCAGAAACTGCAACGGAACTGGGAAGGCCCCTACACCATCCTCAAGAAAATCAACGACCGGATGTACCGCATTCAGTTGTCAACAGGAAGTAAACCCAAGGTAGTTCACATTGAAAAGTTAGCGCCATATCGTGGTTCAGATCCTCCCCATTAGCTCCAATCAGGTCCCAGTAATTAAGGTATTTGGGTCAAATAATTAGAGAAGAGGGAGCAATGTTACCCTGCACCCTGCAGTAGCCTGTGGCTGTTACAGGAAACGTACAAATACAAAAAGAAATGTCGCCCATCTTCCTACAGTGTGCTGCGGTCATCATAAGTAAAAGTACGAGTAAAATAAGAAGAATAGTCCAGAAATGTCTGGAAATGTCATTCCTTGTCAAGAAAAATCTGGACAGTTCGAGGTTCGAGAAGGGTCAAGCAAGCTATATAAGTCGATGATGCTGACATCAGTTTTCAGTTTTATGATAGACGTTATACGTTAATGTTATCAGTTGTATAGTTATTATAAAAGTTGAGTTGAAATAAATTGAAATACCAAAAACCAGTTTAACAATATATGTAGAATATTTGGGTCAATACTCTTTTTTATTCGGTGACGTCACTCCTTAGCAACGGGGATGAGGCCACCGTAGTGTCTACGAACCGTGTCCCAGATAGTTATGTGTCAACCCCCACCCCACTTTAAAAAGTTATAAATACGTCCACCATTGTGATATTTGTAATTTTATTCCTTGTTTTATATTTGGACAGTTTATTTATTTTATGGTAGAAGTTTCTACCCTGTTCTCGACTGATTTCTTGGCAGGTTTGTAGCGATGTGTGTTGCTGAAATTGTTTTACTAATTTTTAAAAGTCTTTGTCAAAGTTGTTCATGTTTGTTTTGATTTAATTTTTTTACATCCACTACAATTTGGGGGTTGCGTGGTTGAACACTTGTTCGTAGAATGAGCTTCAGCACATTTGTTGCATTTTATTGGTTCTGCGCAATCTTCTATGGAGTGGAAACACTTATTGCAGGAGCTGTGGGTGGCGGAGAGCTCGTATAAACAGCATAATGGCGGGATTTGTAATATAATCCTTGAGAGAAAAGTTTTTCGTAAAATTTTATATTTTTTGAAATTTGTTGGAATGTCTGTCTTTTTTGAGATTTCTTCGTCCGAGATCTCTTTTTTGATAAAGGCAATAGTAGACTTGAGTTGCTGGAATTGTGTTATCTCTTGAAGCTTGGTTGTGGGGTATTGTTGCGCTATATTCCATAATTTCATTGTAATTTTTTAAGATATTTCATGCATTTTTTAATATCTCTTAAGCAGTATCACTTTTAGGCAAATAGCCCTTTTTAGTTTTTAATTACTATTTGGCCTTCTTCTTCCCACAGATCAGCCATTTGGATTCTGTTAATAGTGGTATTGTTGGTGGAAATATAGGACATATTAATGAATTGTTTTTGTTGGAACTCATTCATGTGTTTTGAGAAATTTATGGATCGCCCTGTATTTTTATTTAATGAAATATTGTGTGTGAGAGAGAGAATTCCATTAAAGTTATAGTTTTGGAATTGTTTTGTGTTTTTATTCTTATAAGAAACTACTAAACTTGTATGTTAGTTTCACTAAAATACATTCAGTATTATTATTTAGAAGAAACACAAAGGAAATAAATGTCACAAAACATTCACGCTTAGAAGCGGTAACTCCTATGTTAAAAAAGTTTGATACAATTAGAGTAGATGTCTCCAGTGGAAATATTTGTTCAAAATATTTATTAAAATGTGAAGGGACAGCATAAAAAATGTAACTAACAAAATGACAACATTAATTAACTTAATATATAAAGGTGCTTAACTGATATTGATAAAATGCCATCAATTATTAGATATTGTACAGCGGATAATGAATAGAACCCTTTAGTTATTTCGGAAACTGCTTTTACGATATTTATTAAATTTGGTTTTTGGTACTTGTGTATGTTTGGTCTATCTTAAAAGTGATATCTATGTTGTTGTCAGATCTTTCGTTATTCCGAAAATATAACGAATTTTGTTATTTCAAAATCTAGCATGAGTCGGTAATTATTACATTTAGGTACAGGAAACACATGGGAAATATTCAGAATTTCTTAAGCAATTTAATAATCATAGAATATACAGGTTGATCTAGTTTAAATAACAAAGTTTGTTATATTGTCGTAAAAACGGAAGATTTGACAACTTGAAGATCGGCCATACCTATTATAAATCCTCCACAAACCAAATTTCATAAAAAAGATCGTACAAGCCGTTTCCTAAATAATTGGTGCGTCCGTGCATTAGCCTCAGTACGTATTAAAGTTGTATTGTGATTTGGCTAAATATAAGCATACATTTAAATGAACATGTTATTTATCCATAAAAAATTGATCGATTTTCTGCTCTTATTACCTACATACTTGTCCTTAATATGTAACAACCTTAGTTATGTAATACGTTAAAACATAATATTTTTTTAGTGGATCAATGGCGAGTTGGTCATGAGCCATGAAATAGGCCATCTTCCGTTCGTTGCAGAAATCACTGACTTTCTAAGATTCGGAAAAGAAAATTTGGTAACAGTGTCATGTGATAACACGCTACTTTCGGATACAATACCCCAAGGAAAGGTAGATGAATTAGTGAGGTAAGTACGTAATAATTTAATTCAACAGTCCTCGCACTGTAATGACTGGGTTGAGATCGACTATCGTGTTTGGGTATAACTTAAGGGGAATAATTGTATATCAGTGAATCACGAACGTTTTTAATCCACTTTATCATGAAAATGGGAAATGAGGGTTCATCCCTTACACTTCTTTAATAAAATGCCTTTTAATTTAATTTGTTTTTTAGCGGTCGATTGGATCAAACCTATACATTTGATTTTTTTAACTATGCTGGAATTGATAGACCAGTTTACTTGTATACGACTCCTGCGACTTACATTGATGACATTAGTGTAATAACCACCGACATTAAAGAAGCCACAGGTAACAATATTCGTAGATATTTATTATATCGTATTTATTATGTCGTATTTATTATATCGTATTTATTTATATCATTTTGGCCTCGGATTCGCTGATATAAATTATATAATAATTTTATTTATGTAAAAGAACATACTATTGTAACGATTGTTTAATTTAAAAATAGCTTTTTAATTAAAAACAGTTTATTTATAATTTTTTTTAACGTACTAATTAATTTATTTAATACTTAGGCACTATTATAACTCACAATTCTAATTTATTTATTACAATTTATCTTTTCTATGCAACACTTAAATTGAAACTTAACTTCTTCCGACAAACTCGCGCTATTTTTATAAAGCCATCTCTTTACTAGTAGTTTCTCAGCAATCTAGAATGTCCCTTTCTCTATGACTCAGCCGCCGCGCAGCGATCTCTCCGGTACCTTCTCGATGGAGTGCGTTTGTCTCTATATGACCAGCGCTAGACTTCATATCGCAGGCAAGGTAGTAAACAAAGAACAGAGTCGGCTTTGCGCGACACTATGTTAAATTGTTTTAATGGTTACATTAATCATAAATTTTGTCTTATTTAAATACAGTGTTCGTTTAAAGTCCTTTCCCCTCTTAACATTTAAACTGAAATACTAAAAAGAACGTATATTATTATATCTAAAATAAAGCGCAAAAAAATAGTCATGAATATATTTTTGAGGAATTAATTTGCAGCAAGCTGAAAATCGTTTTAATGCCTTTGTTCGATCCTGCATGTGTATAACAGAGCTGGGTAATTCCAAGTTAAAAAGTAATTAATAATTACAATTACTTTTTTCATGTAATTTGTAATTGTATTTAAGTACTTTTTTCTCAAAGCAATTTGGAATTGTAATTGCAGCACAATCTTTGGCGGAATTTTACTTTGTAATTATATTAATTTATATTATTTAAATTGTCTAAAGTCATAAGTACAATTCCTTTTCCAATTACAATTACTTTTTCAATTACAATTACTTTTTTCCAATTATATTATAATTACATTTATAAGTACAATTACATTTTTTAATTACAATTACTTTTAAATGCGTGTTTATGAGATGCACGTGATATATAAATAAGAAATTTTCTATTCGAACCGGTCTCTAGAACTAGGACTCGCATCCATATCATTTGTTTGAATGCATTTGAGGAAAACGTTGTGCCGTGAAGCAGTGAAATTGTTCAACCCAAAATAATAACAGTAAGGGGTAAGTAGATATCCTTATTTTTAAGACGTTTTTTGTATTTATATTATTATAAACATAATTTATGTTGCATAAATATTATAAACTAAGGAAATATAGTACGAAGTGGTGCAAATAGCAGTTTTTATGAAGTAAATACTAAAAACTACTTATTTACCATGCGTAGGTATTTCCAGTTATTATTCTGGTTTTCTAGATTGAAATAAGGGATTTACTATTTTAATAAACGTATTCTAAATTACTTTAGCGTTATAAGAATTTGAATGTAACGTAGAAAATGCAATATTTTAATTAAATTAATAGCACTTGAAATGGCATATAAATATATTTTATGTTATAAGAAATTATTTGATGATGTAGATCTATAACCAAATTTGAGTAAAATGTGTTTCATTTTTGTTTGTACGAACGAGATACAGAATAATACATTTTAGATTATTTAATATAATTTTAATATTATGTACTGGGTGATTCATTAAGGGTGGCGACCGGCCGTATCTCAAAATATCTTGAAGTTAATTTTTTATTTTGAAAGGGACGCCAAAACAGGTCGATTTTTATTTCAAAGGGGACACCTTTCTATAATATCCTCAACTGTCATATATCATTCCTCTCCTCTAAATCAATCTAACCAATACAAAATACAATTTAAATAGGGAAAGACCAAGATGTCGATGCCAAACAAACAAAAAAAAATAGGGAAAGTACCAAAGTATGACACATCGTCGGAAAGGTAATTTTATGAGGAATTCAGCAATATGACTGTTCATTGCGTTCCTTTTAATTTCAGCGCCCTCTAGCGGGATAAAAAATTATTACCTGTGGTAAAGTGTGACACTTCATTAGAAAGCTAATTTTATTAGTAATACAACCAAAGATATTATAAAGACTTTTTTAATTCAATAAAGACGTAACATCTTTGGTTGTACAAAAAATAGGGTACAGTTACACATAGAAATAATATTCAGGCTAATATAGTTGAAGAATAATATAGGTTGAATATATTTATTGCATATCTGGATTCCCTTATTACGTCGCTTGCATCACGCTTTTCCGAAGACTCTAGTGTTAGTTTTTCCTTAATCTTGTTACATCCAAAAACATACAAAATAATGCTTTTTCACTGCCGATCAGAAAATGAAAATAGTGAAAAAATTTGGAATTGAATACCAAACGTGGATAGCTAACTGGAGTACGAAAGAGCTTTCTGCACACAATGATATAGCGTTTAAACATTGTAAATTTTATCCATACAAAAAGCTTTAAAAATATTTGTGGCTCTTCCACCAACGAGTAGTGATGTGATCATTCGAATATTCGATTATTATCATCATCCGAATTATATCGATTATACCAATATGATTCGAATCATTTGAAATATCTGAAATTGTAATAAACGAACGAAATTTATATTTTAAAACTATGGCAATACTCATTTCTCTCAAAATTTTCATGAGAAGTGTCATACGTCAACGCGGAAATAGTATTTTTAAAACCACTGAAAACTAACTGTTTTTGTCAGTTTTTTCGGGAAAATTAATATACTCCTAAGAATTTTAATTCTTACTGGCTTTCAAAATACTGTTTTCACGCTGACATATGACATTTCTTATGAGAGAAATCATTTGAAATCGTTTGAAAATAGGTCACCAGGTAATTTGTTGAAATATGGAGTAGAATAGGCACTCAAAATTGCTTATTTTCCTTAAGTAGGATACACATGCAACGTTTTTGCGACTTATCTTTTAGCGTACTGCGTTCTAATTGGATAGATCTCTATCAAGTCGGGGAACCACCCAATCACTCCAAATCAAAACGGTTGCATGATAAATAAAACTAAATATTGACGTATAACGTTTTAGACTTTGGTGTACTGCGTTTTAATTGGATCGTTAACTGTCAATATATTGCCTTTTGACACATTGATCTTGACCTACTCAATCATTGATGAAGGCATATAATAAATCATTCGAATGATATGATTCGAATACTTGAAGAATTTGTAGAAGGTGCCTATAAGTAGGATATCGTTCAGTGTTGCCAAAAGTAACGAAATTTCGCTACGTCGTCGGATTTTAGCCCTTGAAAAAGTGGTCAAGACCTTTTATTTATGAATCAAAATGTGTGTCTAGTAATATGTAATCATTCTCTATATTTATTTAGGGATTTTTTTATAAAACCGATTTAATAAATTGATTTTTTTTATATTTCAGTTCATTTATTAATTTTGTTTTAAAATCAGTTCATCATTTGGCAACATCGGCGTTTGTGTTTATTGTTTATATTTTAATTTGTATCAATTATAATGCGAGTTTTTTTTTCTTACTTTTTAGCTTTAAATTTGTTTATCTCTTATAGTACATATTAAAAATGAAATCTGCTAAAAAGCCCCAACAAATTACAATCTATGTGGTATTAATGTTAAAATCAAAACTGAAGTATTCCTTATTTTCCAAGCGTAAGTCCCAAAATTTTGTTTTTTACAATAAATAGATATCTACAAATTCACAATATTAAAATTTTGCAAAACTTTGTTTAGAATCAAACTGCAATCTGATTTGTGACAGTTTTATTACCATTTACATATATACAAAGTACTACACAATTCATTTTATAATATAAGAATAAGGATAGTAAGATTTTTAAATAAGTTCATCAATAATAAACGTTTGGTACCTGAAATGTCCTTTAAACCTTGTAGCAACCAATAGCTGAATATTTCCAACAAATTGAGTCATACACATGATAAATATTATATTTATGAAGAAAGCACGAAAACTGTACTTAAATTAATGAAACTCAAAAACTTTATTATAATGAGAATATTATCTAAAAATAGTTAAAAAATCACAAATACAAAATCCCGCCCAAAAAAACAAATGTAAATGAACAAACGTCCTACTTATAGGTGACAAATGACAGGCGCGCGAAAATGAATTTGAATCGCGAATAGCAAACTGTCTTTATATTTTTATGCAGAATCACCCCCTGAAGTATGTCACTCTTATTTACTAACACCCTGTAGATAAAACCAAATTATACTATCATAAAATAACTCTTAACAACGTTTTTATATCCATTTGTAATTACCTTATAACATTACCGCCGACGTTCAAACTTAGAAAACACTGCCGCGTTTGAAAATCCACATCCGATGCATTTTTTACATCTCGAGCATTTTTTTATCCACATCGGACACATCTACTACATCTACATCTGCGTTTGTTTATCCCAGATGTACCTGTTCAGATTACATTTTTAGATCTCGATTTGAAATGAGATGTGAATGAGATGTGAATGAGATGTGAATGAGATGTGAATGAGATGTGAATGAGATGTTCTTTCCATGCCAGAAAAAAAAGTGTTCTGTGAAGCCAAGTTTGTCAATTTATCCTTTGTTTATGCTAGCATAAATATAAAAGTGATTAGTTTAATTTTTGTTTAGATTTCAAATTTAGGTTCATTTGTAGTCTCAAAAGTCAAATTTAAAAAGTATAAACTTCTAACTTGTCATTGACATTTTATCTCGTGACCAATAAAGTCTAGAGAGTTTTTTATTACATCTACATTCAGATCTAATTCTCTATCACGTGATAAAAAATTCACAACATCTCAGATGCATCCGATGTGGATTCTCAAACTCGGCAACAGTTGTCAAAACTGCAAAAAAAAGTGATGTACCCTTCGAGCAAATATGATCGAAGCAAGTATCGAATAAATATTTTATGTCTGGCATTGCTGTACGACTGGCCCGAACGGTGCTTGATTAATGTGTACA